AATAAGGAATAAAAAATAGTTTAGAATAGAGTTTAGAATGGCATTTTATCTCTTTTACTAATAATTTATTAATTTAGAAACAAGACATCAAAGTTCTTCAGTTTTTTGTTGTTGTTTTTTTTGAACATATGTTTATACCTTTTCTTTTGGTCTAAGATTAGGCCAATAGGAAATTCACTGAAAACAAACTTTGTAATTTTCCGAAGTTAACTACATACATTTCTAAAACCAAAAGAAAAATGTTACCCTCCATAAAGTAGCGATCGTATGTTTTGTCCATTTCTTTATTTTCCTTTTCTTGAAAAACTGTACTGTTATTAGAGAATAGGCGAAACCAGAAGAAAGAAAAGCCAGTATTAACGGCAGGCGTCCGTAGGTGTGTGATGATTCAAGGGAGGTGTTAATTCCGTAAGAGCAGTGATTATTTTATCACGGAAGGTGGCGGTGTTCTCCCCCCCCCTCTGGATGCTGGGTTGCAGCGCTGAAGCGCTGATCTTCTCTTGTGTGTATTCCTCTCCAATTACGTACCCCAACGACGTACAGCCTCACCAGTGGTACCGCTAAGCTCGCGCCTGCTCTCCCGTCGCGACAGATAGAGTACTGCATGTAAGTGCGTGTTTAAATATGAGTGTGTGTGTGTGTGTGTGTGTGTGTGTGTAAGTGGTGAACATGTAATCAGAAAGAGAAGATCGTGCGCAGTCTGTGTTACTCATTTGTTAAGGTATTTCCCCGTATACTCCTGATACCACGGGAAACTAACCATGAGAGCAGCCGCTGGTAGAATACTCCTTCAGACAGCAGCTGAACTCAATCTAGCTATGTACAATACTAGGTACTGTTGAAAATCAGCGACCATCGGGATTCTAACCCTAGTCCTCCCGATGAGAGTCGCTGGAGAGTCATCAGCATAGCTGGCTCTGCGTTTCAGACAGTCGGTGGAGTCCGTTAAGAATTTTACAATCCACCGATGGCGAATGAGCACTGCTACTCAAAGAGATGGTATTTCTTATTTATATTTTACTTACTGTATGGTAATGTCAGGAAAAATCTTGAACGTCACACGATCGCAAGTAACAGACTCGGTTATTTGCTTTTGATGTCCGTAATGACGTTAATGACTATAAGGTAAAACAACACTAAATTGTATAACACCCAGTTTTTTTAGCAGAACTGCGCGTAAAACCGAATGAGCACACAGGACTCATGGCATCAACTGATGCAACTGATGGCAGTGCCTCTGACCGAGAGGAACTAGGTTCGAGCCCCGACGGTGGCAGGATTTTCAACACTAGCTAGGTACCACGTCGAATTCAGCCGCTGTCTGGAGGAAAATGCTTGGGGTTTGCTGCTCTGATCGGTAGTTTTCCGTAGTTTCTCCGACCAACACGCAGGTTAATGCCGGAGCAGAACCCTAAGAAACAATCTTGCCTTCCCCTTCTTTGCCATATCCTCACCCTTTACTTACCCACTACACAACCATACATGCCGGGAGTCTGGTCGGGAGCTTAAAGCCTGTTCCGGCTGGGGCGGTTCCCCTGGTAGGAGATACCTAGTTAAGGGGAAACCCTTGCCGACGTGCAAGGTGGCGCCGGATCTCACCACACCGCGAGGGAACGATCACCGCTTCCTCCCGAAGAAACAACATGCACTACACTTACTGGATTAATGAGCTGTTGGGCGTGCGGGATCATTAATAAATCAAAAGCTACAAAATGTTAAATATGAATAGTGCTATAGCCTTGTTCCGAAATGCGATTTAAAAAAAATTAAAATGTTGCATTCTAGCATCACTACCAATGAGCGTCCGTTGTCCGTCATCTGAGTCCGTTGTTGCCCCACTGTGGCGTGGCGACGCGAGGCAAGGCGAGGTGCGGGTCGTGCCCGGCCGCTTTTTCCTTGGCCGCGGCGCAGCATCTCGACGCCTCGGAGGAGCAAGGAAGCGGCGCGGGCTGGTGGGCGCGGGCGCGGGCGGCGGGGGCGGGGCAGAGCGCCTTGGCGCGCATGCGCAGCGCTGCCACCCTCTGTTTTTGTTGGCAACGGCTCCGCCGCCGGTAGCCAGGGGATGCGTGTGACGTCGGCCCCCTCGCGTGGAAGGGGCGGCAGGCAGGCAGCCTGGCGTTTAGTTCTGCGCCTGGAAGGGCTCTGGCGACTGCTTAAGCTGCACCCTGCGAAGGAGAGAGAAAAAGACTGATCAGGAACCGCAGCACAAATTATATTAGCAATCTGAAACCCTAGAAGACTGAAAACACCTATTATTATTTTTGAAAGGTGAGTCGTAGTGCGATTGTGTGTGACATTTGGCAACGCTGCGAGTGTTTCGTGAATGTTCTCCAGTGTATTTACCGTTTGTATTATTGTGGTTTTTGCTGGCGTAGTCGAGAACAGTGAATTACAATATTTCTGTAGTACCGAAATGCACAACTGATCGGGATATTCCACTCATCTACCACCATTTTCCAGAGAATGCCGTGTTTAACCTCACATTTGCCGTCACAATGTAGCTGCTCCTGAGCGCGTTTTCGGGCATATATGATGTACGCTAGTGATGGGTTGCTCTTTAACACGCCGATTATTGGTTAATAAATTATTACTACGATATTATTTGTCAGTTATTGCGTTCGTTTGTGTGTTAGTGTACCTGTCAACACCTGTGTACCTGTCAATACCTGTGTACATGTTTTGCATGTGTACGTTCAGTATCACCCATTTCAAAGAGATGGTAGGGAACTCACTTGTAGAGCTCTAAATTAACTATTTTTATAATATTTTTCCGTTAATGTATGATTTTCTGACGGTGAAAAGGACCGAGAATGGAAGTTGCGTTGCACCCAATGGCGGCGCTCGTGCAGCCCGCTTGTATTGATTTCCTTTGCGCTCCCCCTCTGACAACACCAGCTCGCACCCTCGCTCTCTTCCGCCCCCCTCGCCCCTCCACCCCCCTCAGCACCACCCTCGCGCTCCCGCCGCTCTCTCGCCACGCCGTTGTAACAGGTAGGGGGCGCGACTTCGAACCCGGGCCCATTCATAAAGCGGAAACGAAAACGCGGCTGAGAAAATGGGGAAATTTAACGACATTAAAAAATTGTTGTAAAAGTTCCTCTTAATAGAAAATGAGAGAAAAGATAACGTAATACTAAATCAAGAGAAAGTAGATATTTATCTCAAAAATATATTTTGTGTTTCTTTTCATGTTGCCAGTCTCAAATCTAGTGTTGTGCATGCCACTTTTTAGTGCATGAGTTTCGTAGCGATGTATCTGAGCATATTGTATTGTTTTGACACAATTTTCCCTCAATTGTAAATCACAGTAAGAGTTGTCAGCAGTAATTTCTTATAGCATGATTTGTTTCATATCATTGAGAGACATATGTTTGTTGGTAAACATTCGTATTCGTAATATTTAAAATTGCCACAAGTGAAAAATAATCCATTGACTTTACGAGTCGGTCAACAGAGCTGAAAGGAATTGTTATGTATGAATGCACTTAGAGGGCTGCAGGGGGGAGCATGACATGCAAGAAAAAAAAATTAGATGACAAAAATGACAATGAGGACAGAGAAAATATTCCCTATTAAAAGTAAATTCAATGTTCTATTTCTTGGGAACGCCACTGCAAATTATGTTTCCAACAATTGCGTTGATCTAACGAGAAGCTGGAGGAAGATACCGCGAGTTGTCGCCCAGTTGACACTCAGTCTACTGTCTGTACGCGTCTGTGTGCCATCATTACCGGAGCAAATGCCGGAGGGGCGCCGTGGGGATGTTGGGGCTCTCAGCGTCTTATTTGACTTCCCGCACGCCAGCGCTACGTCTAATTGCCGTAGGTCGTCTGGACCGCGGAGAGTGTAGAGGGCGCCTTAGTAACCCGGTCCATCGTTCGGCTAATATTTGGCCCAGGCACACAGCAATGCCCTGCGCACACGGAATATATTCACTTTCGGGCGGGCGCTGCACACACTGGACCGTCCTTGGCGAAGACGTTGGCACGGCCAGTCACGGCCGCAGTCGAGCTTTATCACTATAGAAGTCAAAAATAATCATAAAAGACTTTTTTTTTTTTTTTTTTTTTTTTTTTGGAAGAAAGGATGACGACGGAATATGAACAAAGTTAGAGAGGAGAGAAATTGTTGACAACGTGCAGGAAAGCAATTTTTCAGCAAACGTGATTAGGGCGGGATAAGGTTATCAGTCAGCACAAATTGGATTGAAGTGATAAACATATTCAATTTCAATTCCTTGTATATTTATAAATTTGATTGATATCTAATGCGTCATTGAAGTGACGTAACAGGGTAACAGACTTGCAATGATCGTTGTTTCTTCAGCGGAATAAATATTTCTTCGTGTTTGATGCATCCTATTAATATTCATTTCAAAAGGCATGAAAATCGAAAATAATATAGATGAGATCCCAATATAGATGAGCGGCATTATTTTTTATTGTCGTTTCCCTTCGTGGATGTTTTGAAGATGTGTCCCGCGATATTGATCTACCCCGAAAACGATCGGAGAAACCCCATACAGATACCGAGTGGCTCTCCCCTCTGTCGTGTCGCATGATTCACAATTTCCGTACATTTCAATCTTCGCCCGCCCGTAATCAGCATGCGGGAGGGCGGGGGAGGGGGTGGGGGGAAGATCGGCGGCGTCTGCGCCTCGCTGTCCACCGGCGGCCCGTGCCCGTCGGCCGCGCTAGTACAGTTCACGTCCGATTAAAGCAGGGTTTCGACAGCGCGTCGGGTGCGTCAGGTGGGGGGGAGGGAAAGGCAGCCCGTCGCCCGCCCCCTCGCGCGCCGCGCAGCTGCGCACCGCGCCCCAGCGTGGTTTCCCCCACCCGCGCGCCCGCTGGCCCCGGGCCGCTCCGCACCGCACGCGCCGCGTCCGACGCGCGCGGCGCTCGCGCGCGCACCGCGTCGCCCTGGGGTCCCGCGCGCGCGCGCTCGCTCGCTCGCCGCCTTCCCCGCCCGCCAGCGACGTACGTCCGCCGAGCGCCGCGCTCATTGTGCTACGGCGCGCAGTGAGGAGCGGTAGGCGGCTCGCAGCAGGACCTGGAGTGACGAGAGAGCGTCGTGTGACGCGGCGGCACCCCGCCCGAGAAGGAGGGGCGGTCAAGACCGGAGTGTGGGCGTGAAAGTGTGATATTTAATTTTTGTTTTTGCGTATGTGGTGGACCTTCTTGAGGCACCGGAGGAGTTGAACCTCAAAACGTGCAACCCCCCTCACCCCCCCCCAGATTTCTGCCTTGGTTTCTCTTCAGTTTTGTGGATACTTTTTTGTTTGGTTTCGTATTCTGGATTTGGAGCGGCCACAACGACACATCTTGACTGCCGGAACCCCTTTGGATTCGGATGGCGTCTCCAAGGTAAGTTTCCGCGCACATTTCGTTTTCACATGTGAAAGTGAGAAGGCGTGCAGAAGTGCTCCGCAGTGCGTGCAGTAAAGAAAACACGCCGGGCGGCCGCGGCGTCTGTCTGCGCCGTGGAAACGGTGTCGATGTGAGAGTGACAGCGTGAGCGTGGCGTCGCGAGTGGTTTCACGTGTGGACAGAGCGCCGCAGCGGGAATTTGAGAGCTCGCTTCGCCAAGAGCCAAGTTTTCGGGCGGGCGCGGTGCACGCCGACGCGGGAGGCCCGCGCTGGGGCGGCCGGGAGTTGAGTCACGACGCCGGACTGGCCCGGCCGCCGCCATCGCACCGCCTGCAGAGCCCCGCTGGGCCGGGCCGGACCCGCCTCCCACGTTCTTTGTTCGGGTCGGCCCGCCCCGCGCGTCCGGCCGACCTCCAACGCCGGGTCGTTGCGCCGCCCCGCACCGCACGCTCCGCCCCGCCCGCACCTCCCATCTCACACCGCCCCACGCTCAACCCCCCATCTCCCACGCCCGTAAACCGCGCCGCGATGACAGCTAGCGCGCGCCGCCCGCCCGTCGCAAACACCGCGAGCGCGCGCGGCTGGACGCGCGTGTTGAGCGACGTCGCGCGTCGCGCGCACTCACGCCAGAGCGCTCGCGAGAGACGTGACGGCGCGGAGAAGTTTCCAGAAGTCGCGTTTGCTACTTTTTTTGTTGTTGTTGTGTGGAAACCGGCACATAAAGCTCTGCGGACAATGCAGAGCCGTATGGAGCTACGGCTTGCCACGCGCTCGCTGGAGAACGTTTAAAGTACCTACGCTATCTCCGCGCGTGAAAAAAAAAAGAAGACGAAAAATAAAAGACTGCGGTGAGAGGAATTTTATTACGTCGTACGTTAAAGTTAGGGTTGAGTGAGCGCGTTCTGAAAAGAACAACGCTCTCGGTGTGATGTTGGGTCTTCTCTCTCTCTCTCTCTTGCTGAGGCGAAGAAAGTGCTCTTTATGCAGATGCTTATGGAAGTTGTTGACGTTTTATGCTGACGCTCCGTAACTCGATCGATCAGATAGAGTGCTCTCAGCGATATACAGCCGTTGACGGAAGGGTTCCGTAATTACGCCGTCGTGTCTCCGGTGCAGTTTCGTGACGCAATGAGCGCTGTTTGCAGGAACCATAACCATAAAGAGACACGTTTCAGCGTTGTTATGCGGTGTTCGCGTCGCGGACGCCCGGAGACTATGGGCAAAGGCGACATAACCGTGTTCCGCATGCTGTGTATATGGGACGGTGGCTTGCATATCAATGTGACATGTTTCGCCCTACCTCTGGCGTTGGAACCGGTTTCGATATGCTGCGCGGAGCATTCACCAGCCCGAACTCAATTCCAAATTAGATTCTTCATACTTCACAGTTAATGAATGCAGGGTGGACGCCGACGCGGTATTAATGTCGTGTGTTGTGTACCTGCCCGCAATAAACTTCGGAAATCGAAGAAAAAACTGAATTTCATGATTACCATCTCCCGCTTTGCATTACAATTTTATAACATCTGTTCCCGTGTATTTCGTAGTTTGCTGTGTATGTTGCGTTTTGGAAGGTGATCGCGCCGTACGTCGTTTAATTAAACTAAAGTGTTTCGATATTATAAAACAAGTGTTTTTAGATAGGATACCCCCCCCCCAAATGTCAATATTTTACATTTAGAATTAATGTCCAATTCCGGATCACATTTAGAGGAAAACCTTAAAATTACACAAATATTAATTAAATTGTTTGTACCATAATGGGGTCTTATTTTAAACGACTAACTTAATCTTGAAACTTCTTGAAAAAAAATTGATTTTAAAAAGAGTGTATTGTTAGAAACGCCATAAAAACGTACTTCGCCCTGTTTTTCCGCCCGAGATAGTCCAGAAGTAACTCGATCCAGCGCGTGCCGACGAAACAATTTCGAATGACAGGCGCGGTGAGCCGTGCCGTGTTGCTGGGAAGTTTGTGAACTAGAATTCCCACCCGGCTTCTCGCGGGCGTCCGACACCCGGCCGCCGCCGTGTCTCGCGGGAGGAAGCGCGGGCGCTGTGCGGCGCCGGGGGCAGCGGTATCTCCCGGGCGATCGGAGAAAGTTCGTGCCGGCGCTCATCCCAGCGAGAGCGAGTGTGGCGGACGCCGCTCACGCTCTCGGACCAGCCCGCGCAGCCAGGACCGGCCGGATAAGTGCCATAAGGGGGTCCGAAGCATGCCCAAAGTAGAGAGTCCTTAACAATATTCAACATAAGTGATCATTATGTATACGAATTTGACTTGATTCGTATTATTTTCGTCGAAAATCTATAGAAACGGTATGTAACGTATGGGAGAGAAGCCTTATCGCACGTTTTCTTGAATAAATGCTGCAAGGGGTCCACCATTCGGTGTCCTCGAATAATATTTGATGAAAGTGATCATTATGAATATGAATTTGACTAAATAATTATTTTCGTCGGAAAACAGTAGAAACGGTATGTAAGTATGGGAGTGAAGCGTTATCTTGGCTCGTTTTCTTGATCTCCTGCAGGATGAATGCTGCAAGGGGTCCACAATTCGGTGTCCTCGAATAATATTTGACATAAGTGATCATTATGAATACGAATTTGACTTGATTTATATTATTTTCGTCGAAAAAGAGTAGTATGTAACGTATGGGAGAGACGCGTTTTCTCCACACGATTTCTTGGTCTCGCGCAGGATAAATGTTCGAGTATTATTCGTCAGAAGTGGTCAACGTCAATTTGATTTGATTTATTTTCGTCGAAAAACAGTAGTAACTGTATCTGGCATATTGGAGAGATGCTTAATCTGCGTACGTTTTCTTGAGCTCCAGAATCTCTTCCCCACTCTTTTACTATACATAGTTTAGAGACGAATAAAAGAATCAACAACGCGAGTTTAGCAACAATTAAAAGCTAGAAGTTTCCCTTCTGAATTATAGAAAACAAAATTGTTTACATTGGTAAACGAACTTACTACAGATTTGATGGTATAGTAACAAAACAACAACCCTTACCCCGGCTCTTCTTCTATAAAAATAAACTCCAAAGGTTCTACTCCTAAAACACCTCGTCACATTTCTAAAAAGGTGACTAAAAATGTTTTAAAATCTGAATTAAATTTATTATTTCCTGTGTTGTTAATAAAACAGTTCCATTCTTTACGTAGTATATATAAATAAATATAAAATATTTATAAAAATATTTGGGGGAGGATCTATTCATGGGAAACCAAAGGCCTATGATCTCCTCTTTTTCCCACATTCTTCTATGGTGAACTGAGCAAGCCCACAAATCTCTTGAGATGACCAGAGTGCTTGGACTTTCAAACTAGGTTTCGTTTATTATTATTATTATTATTATTATTATTATTATTATTATTATTATTATTATTATTATTATTTAGTTTTCTCCGTTACATATTACTTATAAATAATTAAATAAACACGGCGGCTGTTAAATTGAAATCTCCCTCGCGCGAACGTAAATGTTAAAAAAGTAGTAATGTATTATTAAAATCGATGTTTTCTTTTCGATGTTGTATCCCTAATACCAAATGCACAACTACAAGACACAACTTAGTGGTGTTTGGCCTTATGATCCCAGAAGCCAAAAATGGCCTGAAGAAAGAAATATATCTCTCGCCGTCCCCATTTGTTAAGGAGTTACTATACAAACCTCAAAAAATCTTAATTTGTAAATTATTTAGCTCACGTTGAAAATGCAGTCATTGGTATCACCCTGCCAAATCTGCCAATTCATGCACAATTTCTTCATTTTCACTGCATGTAATTTCACTTATGAATATTCGTGCGTCATTAAATCTTTGATTGAACGAATAATGTGCAGTGATGCACTACCGCCTGTTTCTGTTAGTAATTTGGGGGCTCCATTTTTAATTTTAAAAGCTAAGACAACAGAACATTCAATTTCCCATTTTTTCATTAGTGTTACTTTTTAATTATACTTTTAGATTTATTTTCATTACAGAAATCAGTAACAATTGTATATGACGTATGGGAGAAAAGGATAATCTGCGCAGTTTTTCTTTGTTTTTCTGAATTTCTACCCCGCCCAAAGTTGGATAATGAAAATAATCATGAAAGTGTGGTTAGCAACATGAAATTTTCTCTCCCGAGTGATGAAAACCTTACGCGCATCGGTAAAGGAACTATAGATTTGCTTTTGAGGATTGCAAAAATAAATAAATAAAATTTTTAAAGAATCAAAAAAATAGTAAGGATGCTCCTTTGCAAGGGGATTTAACGGTCCTTTGTAACTGTTTATGTATTAATAACTTGTTGTATTGTATATTGTATAAGACGTTTTCAATAATTTATATTTTAAATGACGTATTTACCAATTGTGTTAACTTTTCTAATTTATCGAGCGACAAAGGAGTTAAGATTTGTTTAAAGAATTAATAATTGATTTGACTTATGAGATACATTATTAATGCGATATGACACTGACAGATTAATATCTTTCCGTCAAATTAAGCAGGTGAAAGAAAGTGTTGATGGACAAGCACGGATACTACGGGCTAATCAGGATTAGATAACGTGAATACAAGATAAGAAAGAGCAGCTTTTATTCCATAAGTTTAGTGAGAAATATTCGAAGGCAAACTACTTTCAATGAATTGATAGTGCGCAATTTTATTTTTTTAAACGAAGTTACATTGCAATTTCCTTTTGTTTTCCTTTTTTTGTATTGGCGAGTTCTGTTAAATTATGTTTTAATTTTCACCAAAACTATATATTTTATATATCTTCAAAAAGCATTACCTTAAAAATTGTGATTCTGAAATAGTAGACAAAGCGATACTATATTATATTCTTGATTCAGGTTCAATTTTTGACAACAGCCAGTGATCTGTCGAGGTACCTTATTAAATCGTCGTCTTCATTATTATTAGTTCGCGAAACTTTTGAGCAATTCGTTGATAAGATATATTGAACGTTGTTTTCGGTACAAAAACTAAGTTGGAAACTTGTAAAAATGAGTTTCAGTTCCATGGAAAAGATGTCTTTGGGATGGACGGAATTACAAATAGGCGATCGGCCAAAAATTAAATTAATTTAAGATGCCTGAGTAATTTGAATAAAGCTAATAGATAAATTTTCTTCATTATCTTTTTATACCAGCTATTATTCAGCATTTGATTAGTCTATACTCCTGAATCATTGTTAGAAACTTCTTTCCTACGCAGTGATTATTTTCTGCCCTTCTCGTGTGCTCCTTAGGGAGAACGTCTCCATGAGAAAGGTAAATCAGAAATGCAGGCACTCTCTGAGAATCGAAGGTAGTGCGGAAAAATATGCGGCAATACCAAGGATTCGAAGTGGGACACATGTGTTCAGATATTGCGGTGGTTGCATGTAAGTACGCTTAAGGGGGAGTGAGAGAGATTTCCGTGTTTCCCTTGCAACTACTTTGTTAGTCCGCGGGTGTAGTGATGATAGAGGCGGGAAGTGAGGATGTTCCTCTTAGAGGGAACACGAGATAAGGCCTCTTCCTACCTATTGGCGATCAGAGCAACCGTACGTATATTCAGCATAAGTGATCATTATGTATATGAATTTGACTTGATTCGTATTATTTTCGTCGAAAATCTATAGAAACGGTATGTAACGTATGGGAGAGAAGCCTTATCGCACGTTTTCTTGAATAAATGCTGCAAAGGGTCCACCATTCGGTGTCCTCGAATAATATTTGATGAAAGTGATCATTATGAATATGAATTTGACTAAATAATTATTTTCGTCGGAAAACACGTCGTAAAT